ACTCTGCACGATCTAACTAAAGATCTTCGCATATCTCTCCCTTCCATTATCCTTGCTGCATCTACTTCACATCTCTCTTCTCCTATCTTTGTTGCACGTACTTCGCACGATCACAAACATGATCAGAACCATTAGAAACTGGCCCTCCACAACCCAATTTGGTGGAAAGATGGACCTTGTGTTTCGGGTGGCATCAGATCTAGAACAAATCCAACAATGTTCAACCTTGAATGGTAACGGCAGTCTAAGAGAAGAGGAGGGTTCTGTTGCAAGAGAATGATTTGGCATTTTGGCCAAGTACAGGTTTTGTCGTTCTAACTTGGGTGTTTTACGGATGGATGTCGTTTGATGTTCCCGTACTTGTGCGCAACTGAATTTGGCTAGAACACTATCGCGGTGGATAAGATCTGGATATTTACACAAGTAAGTAGCACAATTTTCTTGGTGAATCTAAAGGGAGGTTTTAAATGGGAACGTAAAGGACCAAGGGTGAAGGGAATTAAGGGCATATTGGGGGAGTCAGCAACCTTTTTTTGAACTTTTCTTAATCTTCGTGCTCAGTCAAATCAGAAACATGAATTTAGGACGGAGGGAGTAATCAATTACTAAAAGTATTCATGTAAATGTAACAAACAATGTTTGATTAGCAATTTACAATCCAATGGAATGTGCCATTAGACAAAATAGTGAAAATGTAAAGAAACAAATAAACTTTGCTTTTGGAATCCCCAATTAAAAATATCACTAGTCAACAGTCAACACACTCTTAGATCAACGCATTTTCCAATATTGCTTCATCAAGGGAGAATTTTGCAAACTCTAAACATTTTGCATCATCAAAAGAGTCAAATGTGTCTCCACCATATTGCTCAGAATTTCTTCATAAAAGACATAAACTGTTATGGACGAATATCAAATCTTCACTGCGACTTGGAAAACTTCAATTTCTTCATATTTTTATCTCTTTAATTTCACCATCTCTATGAGGTGTTACTCTACTAGAATTTTCATCCAATCATCAATCACTTTAAATCTTTCAAGTTGTAACATGATATAAAAAGGTATCCCATGTCAATAAAAACAATCAAGTTATAATGAAAAGAATGATAACTTTAACAAATATGTATACCTTGGATTTAATGGGCTTTCTTTTAGTTACGGGCTTTCTTTTAGGATCATTCTATACATCACTACATATTCTTAGCCCCTTTTCTGGCCAAGTCATCTTTAGAGGTTGTAATAGCGTCTCAACGTTAACCTTTTCTCATCAGAGTAAAGTTGTATGCAACTTGTTATATTCGGCAAGGAACATACCATGTCATCAACATCCATTATCACACCATTAAGGCAAAGGAACATCTTTAGATTGAGAGTATTTTATTTCACCATCTTTTATATTCATCTTCCCCACCTTTCATTTAAGTTTGTCATTAAGACCGACTTTCTTACATATTGCAACCCCTTGATCTGCTTGCAGACCAGATTTTGCATGTCTGGCCAGTAGAAGGTCATGGTGGATTGAGTTGCAAATTTTCTCCTTGCCTTCATGTCCTATGTTGTGTATAGTGGAGATGACCGTGAAATCCACTCCAGATAGACCTTCCCCTTAAGGAAGAGCAACACTCATCAATCCACTAATCCTCATTAAGCTCCCCCCGTTTGCCTTCGCTAGCAAGGCAAGCCATTCACCATGTTTTGCCTTTTTGGATGGAATGGGGCCAAAGATGTCCGTGATTGGCATTGATATGGCCAAATATACAAGGCCGTCTTCCTTTATTTACATGTCAATCCCATGTAGAACTTTTCTAAAATGCCTCCAATTTTTTCACTAATCGTTGAATCTTCTATTGTTTTACAAGTTGGGAATGATCAACACTTGTTCTTTTTTGAGGTGGAGTGTCGTAAACTGCCAATAAGTATAATAGCATGAGTGTATGCCATTATTGCAATACTAAATTTGACATCATCACTTAGCTTATTATATTTGTAATTAAATAGATATATGACTCATTTTAAACGAATTATAAATGAGAAATTAAACACCTTCACACTCTTGATAACAAGTATGATTTGATGAAGTTTCTATGTCAATTTAATTAAACTTTTCTTGATGTGAGATGGCATAGTGATGAGGTTCAGTGCAGAGGTGTGAGAGGTTGTGTGTGGTGGGTGAGAGTTCAATAGGTATAATAGCATGAGTGTATGCCATAATTGCTAAAATCAATTGGACATCATCACTTAGGTTTTTATATTTGTAATAAGATAGATATATGACTCATTTTAAACACACTATAAATAAGAAATTACACAACTTTGTACTCTTAATAACATAGTATGATTTGATGGACTTTCTATGTCAATTGAATTAAACTTTTCTTGATGTGAGACGATAGAGTGATGAGGCCCCAGTGTGGAGATGTGAGAGGTTGTCGGTGGTGGGTGAGAGTAGGGGAAGGGGTAGACCTAGGACGAATTGGAAGGAGGTGATTCGACATGACCTAAGACTTCTAGCCCTTACCTAGGATATGGCCTTAGATAAGAACATTTGGAGAGCTAGGATTAGGGTAATTGGGTAGGTGTTTCGGACTAGGTGGTAGTTTTCTTACTTGTTGTCGTGTGCTTCCTTGTGTGCTTTCTGCTTGCTGTGCCTTTCCGTCGTTATTTTTAGTTCATTGCTTTTTTGTGCTCTATGATTTCTCTATTTATGTCCCTTCTCTGCGCTTGTGCTATTGGTGTTATCCGTGTTACTGAGGTTGGAAACAATCCCCTAATTTCGATTAGGGGTAAGGTCTGCGTATACATACCCTTCCCAAACCCTACTCTTCGTGGGATTCAACTGAGTTGTTGATTTAACACCACCTAACAAACCTCATGCTAAAAAAATAAAGTAAATTCCCAAAACAGTACTCAATAACTATGTGTTTTCCCAAATTAATCTCCAAGATGAACTAATCCCCGAGATGGTACTCGTTAATTGAGAAAAATGCTTAGTTTAGTCCTTCGACTAACAGTCGTCAAAACAACGTCAAAACAACGTTAAAACTTATACTAATTTTCTAAATTGGTTCTTTCTAAATGTGTAGTTTCTCAAATTGCTCCATTTTTAAATAAAAACTCATTAAATATGGAAAAAAAATTAAATTTTGTAGGTTGAGAATATAATAAATAAAACTATAAATATAATTTTAGAAATTTTAAAGTTAATGTTTCAAGTTATTTACAATTGTTTAGAAGAATATCATATAAATAAAATATTTAATACTCCATTCGTCCATAAATAAGACTCATTTTGATGGAAAATTCTAGACCAACTTTCTGTTATGTTTATTTGAAAATAACTTTTGTCTAACGTCATAAACTGAAGTAGGAGTCTTATTTCAAAATGGATAGAATCATTTTTTAAATATTTAATTTTAATGGTATTATATTTAAAAAATTTAAACAATGTAAAATGTGTGCGTTCAACTTTATTTAATTATATTTATTGTTTTATATATTATATTTTCATTTTATATTATTTAGTATTATTTTTCCATATTTAATGACTTTTAATTTCGAAAATGCACTAAATTGAGAAAACACCCAATTAAACCATTATGGGAAATTAGTGTAAGTCTTTACGTTGTTTTGATGTTGTTATGATGTCCGTTAGTCGAAGGACTAAACACAACATTTTTCTCAATAAATGAGTACCATCTTAGTAATTAGTTCATTTTAGGGACTAATTTGGGAAAACACATAGTTATTCAGTACTTTTTAGGAAATCTACTCAAAAAATATTACTCAATTCAATGAAAACCTAGCAAAATCCCACGAAAGTAGGATTTGGGGAAGGTGTGTGTACGCAAACCTTACCCCTATTTGAAAGTAGACACTGTTTCCAGGTTACCCCTGATTTAAGCAGCACAATCGGCACACAAAGCATAGACACAATACACTAAGAGCAAACTAAGGGTCCTGGAAAGCGCAAAGAGACAAAAACTACAAGCAAAGAAAGCACACACGACGGAGCAACAACTATGGCCTTAGGCCTAACAAACTACCCTACCTTAATCTTAGATCTCGAGATGCTTCTATGTAGGTCATATCCTCGCTAAGGGCTAAAAAGCTCAAGTCATGTCAAATCACCTCTTTTCAATTCTTCCTAGATCTATCCCTCCCCCACCCTTGCCCACCTAAGCCTCTAACTTCTCTTCACCGGGGCCTCAACCTGTAGAACTTCCCTTCCTTGTCAAACCTTCATGTCGCAGAGGACCCCTGAAGCTAGCTTCCATTTTGCCCAAGCAGCTCCCATACGGGGAACAACATCCTCGTCTATCTCCTATCCCCATATGCTTGAATGATTGAATCAAGATATTGAAACTTGTCTCTCTTAGGCACTGGGTGTGACTCAACACTCTCTTCCACATTCGATTCTGGCGCCCTACCACTGAAGCAACATTCCAAGTACTCTGTTTTAGTTTTGCATAGTTTGGAGCCTTTGGATTCTAGGGAGGGACATCACAACTCCACTCCTACTTGTCATTGAGCCCCTCACGTGTCTTGTTGATCAACACAATATTGTCAAGAAAAAGCATATGCCAATGGACCTCCCCTTGAACACCTTGCAAAAAAGAGATATTGAGCATCCATCACCAGAACAAATAGGAAGGGACTAATGGCACCCCTAATGTAACCCTACCTTTATGGGGAAAGGATTAGATACACCCCCACAGTCTTCACCCTACCCCTTGCCCCGTCATACATAACTCTGACTGCACAAATCTACGCATTCGGAACCCCTCTAAACTCAAGACACCTCCACAAAATCTCCGTTGGCACCTTGATGTATGCCTTCATGCAGTCAATAAACACCATGTGAAGATCCTTCTTAGCATTATATGCTTCCATCAACCTGCACTGATATCACCCTTACCCTTGTACAGTGGGATCACCACACTCTCCCTCCACTCGTCTGGCATCTTATTCATCCTAAAAATAACATTAAAGAACTTGGTTACCCAATCCAACTCATTGTTCTCCGCAGACTTTTAAAACTCCACAGGAATCTCATCCGACCCCAAGGCTCCCCCTTCTTATCCCGGGGATGGTCCTCCCCACCATAGTTGTGAAAAGCACACCTGAGGCCCTGAGGCGTGATGTGCACGAAGCGCCTGGAGTTGTGCATCGCCAACCTTGATGCGCGCGCTGTTCACGAGGCGCGCGCCTTACTGTGCCTCGTCGCAAAATGTGCAGTGTATTGATGCGCAAAGAGGTGCGCCTTGTGAACATATGTTTTTTATTTTTAATTTTTATTAATTAGGTTTAGGGATTAGCGCTAATATTTATTACGACTAACCCCTCCCAACTTTTACGATCCCAAGGAGATTAAACGGCATACCTACTGGGCAAATTAAATGGTTGTTTTCTCTTTCTTATATTTCTTCGATTCAGTACGACTCTTCCTCCCCAGTCTCGCAAGTCCTTCTACAAACCGGCACACCTACTGGGCAAGTGGCAGAAGCAGGTTAAGTCGGCTCTCTTCCTTACAATATTTTTTCTCTCTCGCTAGTGTCTCTTCTTTCTACTGGGCAAGTCCTTCTCTGTTTTTCATTGGTTTTTTTATAAACATATTGTTCTCTGTTTTTTATATTATTCTGTTTTTTAAACATTTGTTTCTTAACCTTTATTATGCTTTTCAAAATTATATATATACACACACACACACACACACACACACAAATGTAGATATACTAGAAATTCTACCAGTGCCTTAATATGCACCTCATGTTCGTGATGCGTGCGCATTATTTGCGCATCGCGCATCGAGGCACTAGAGGTCCTTTGTGCATCGGTGTGCATCACACCTTAAATAACTATGCTCCCCACCTCCTCCTGACTAATACGCCGACAATACCAAAGTCCCTATGTCTCTCCGGCTGCCCCAACTCACACAGCTCAAGCCTCCTTCC